CGGGTTCCTCGAAATTCCGTAGAATTTTAAAAAATAAACACCTTTCGCACAACTATGAAGAGCTCTCAGCTGTTTTCGACGAAGAGAATAAAAAAAGGGGAGATGAGTTTGGCTTGATAGATTTGATACATGATTTTCGTAATTGCATCGAAACTTACCTCGTCGAGAAACCTTTTGGAAACGTTTTCTGAATTGTGGAGTTGTTTCAATGCAACTTTCATGGTGTCATTTGTTTGACGGTCGTAGTGGCCCCGCCAGTTGGCGACGAAGACTGTGGAAATGCCTCCTTTCCCAATTTCACGAATGTCATCGAATTCATCGTAAGGTATCCAGTATAATGTGTTACCGGTAAATTTTGTTGATAGAAGGAATTCGTCCATTTCAGGATTGCCACTCAATTCTTCTTCGTACGAATCTATCGAGGAAGTTTCGCTAGAGTCATAATCATAGTCACTTGGGGTTTCTAAATCTCCGTAGATAAATTGCATGCCACACATTTCGTCTTTACTTTCAAATCCCAAGGTTTTCCTTGCCTTAGTTCTTGATAGTTTCGAAAAGAGGGAAAAACATTGATTAATCATCTTGCGTAATATGAATATGAGTAATATATGTGAATGACATCGAATGGAGGAAAAAATTGAAATCAAAAGATGAATGAATGAGAGTATTTTCTTTTAATGGGTGTCGAACGAAGGGAAAGGAAAGGAGGTGAATTATCGTTATTGGTTTGCCGTCAAATTTTATTCACAAAAAAAATTTGATTTTCAATTAAAGTTTGTTGATTACACGAAATTAATTACCGTGTCACTTCGAAATCGCAATTTTATATTCTATGCGGAAACAACCACCACGCTAGGAAAAAAAAAAAAACGGCATTAAGTAGGTGATCCCCAATTAACAAAAAAAATTCAAACTCCATCGACACAAGGAATTTATTGGGCCACGATTGTCAACATACTTTACTGGTAAGCTCGCTTCCTTGTGGGAATCAGTACAAAAATGCATAATGTATTCCTTTTATTCACGCTTATGTATGAATTCCGATTTGGGACAGGATCGAAAAGTAAAACACCATATCGGTACTTGGTGCAATGTCGAAGGTACAGTATCACACGAGTGTGCTTAATTTCTTGCACGCGAGTACGAATAGAGTCTCTTATAATACCAGGATACTGCGCACATACCACATATCTCCAGTGAAATTAAACCACGAGATGTCATCATCATTACATGCGTGTGCCGTACCAATATGTCGCGATGTGTTTATGTAACAAAAAAGGTTTTCTTTCCTATAGAGTGCATGCATCTGAATGATGAATCCGATTTGCGTGATGCTTGACGTCTAATAATCATGATTGGTTTTACAAGTTTTTTTAAATCTTTGCATTCCTTAGACAATGATAACCAATCCGCTAGTCTCCCCCGCATCATTATTTCTATTTAACAATAATCATTGTTGCTGCATACATAAACGGTTTAACAATTGGAAATATATTTTTCCCATATCACTTGATGCAAAATTTCCTCGCTTGCACACCTTCTTTTAAATAATGCACATTTTCAAATTGAGGACGAACCATCCATCGTCTTTCATACCAATTAAACGAAACTGCAGTTAAACAGGTATACGCACGGCACCTGAACTCTTTCTATCTCCATAACAAGTACGATGATCATTTCTCGATTATCTCGCCCATTTATAGTACTGTACTCGATTATCGTCAGCAAGGATTATTTATTACTGTACTTCAAAAACGAAATGTCAGAAAAATCAGTGAATAATGACGCAAGTGAAACTGAAGAAACAGTCGCTGTAAAAACTTTCAAATCATTGGCAAAGATTCCTTTTTACATTTCTGCCGACATTTTACCAAATTCAAGTTCTTCTTTGCTCTGTAAGGAGTGTCCACAATATTTGTAATACAATTGTGTTTTGTGCCGACTAATTCTTTGTCCCCTTAATTTTCCCCCCTAGTAATTCAAACCGGTCTCAGCCAACGCGATTTAACTCGTAAAATTAAGCGAGTAACCGTGAAACAATTGGTCGTATCATTAAAAACCGAGAGTGATCCTAAGCCAAGCGTTATCACCTCTTCGTTCTTACCAATTGATTTGGGAGATGTGGTTTTACAAGCCATTTCTCAAAGTGGTAAGAAGCTGGTGACCTTAAAGTCGGTGTCTAGTGACAAGGGCAAGAGTAGATACGTCGAGGTGGCTCATCTATCTATATATATTTCATACTTATTTGGAATTTCAAAGTATGATTTCTTTCTTCAACTGATGATATTTTTCATTTGTAGATTTGGGAACATGGGAATCTGGAAAGCGTTATTGACGTTACGAACGTACATGAAGATTTCTACTCTGATGGTGATTTGACGTAAAGATATTCATCCGTTATCGATCGATTGTTTAATATTAATTAACAGAGAGAATATTTCTCGTAAAGATAATTTCGGTTGTTTAAAGTGGTCAAAGAATGAAGAAAAGGTTGTTTACATCGCCGAACGTAAGGCACTTGAAGCTACTGATGAAAAGGTGTGTCACGTTCATTTTGTCCCTCTAACACTTTTCGATCACAATTGCGAAGCTAAAAGCAATTTATTAGAAATATGATTATAAGCAAAGTTGGGGCGAAAGATTAGCGAATAAGCAGGTTCCCGTGATCGTCATTGTCGATATTACTGAGAATAAAGCGAAGGTCTTACCGGAATTTCACAATATCGATCCGGGGCAGGTATGTCAGCGATCACATTCTCATCATTCTCATGACCGATCATGAAATCAAAATTTATCGAAAACGTTTTCAATAGGTACTCTTTGGTTCAGATGATGAGACACTGATCTTTACTGGATATGATAGAGAGCCGCGCCAGTTTGGTCTAGTAGCCTGTATCAATCGATTGTAAGATCAAATTACTTGTAACTTTTGAGTGTTTGATTCTTCTTCTCACGGTCTAATCATTTACTCAGGTCTGGGATTTATCAGAGCAATCTTGATGGAACAAATTTGGGTAGATCATTTTATTCCTTTTAAGCGAAATATTTGGTTTAGGATTGATCTTGAATATCAAATGTTTGAATCGTTGCTATAGTCCACATCAGTGGTCAAGTTCAACACGCAAGGTCGCCAAGGATGAACCCCGCAGAGAATTGTTTGGTATGATAAACTGTTCATTCATTCATTCATTCCTTCTATTCCGAGAGATGATTCAAATTGGTGTATTGAATTGACCATACTACACGTTGATCGAAGGTTTATCTATCCAATCCTACGGGAGGGCCTCACTCGTGGTGTTCGGAACTCTATGTGGTAAGTTCTTAGAACTCTGGGTGCAATGGACATTGAATTATTTCGCGTGCAGCCAGACGCTAAAACCTTCCTCTTCGTTCAATCCGAAAATCATAGTATGAGTTTTCATCGAAAACGAATCGCCTTGTTGTACCCATAGTTCGTTCTCCATCCGAGTCCTTTCACGAGAATTTTCCTGGAATATACTGCGGAAAAATCTTGTCAAAATCGTTTTTCGCCATCAATAGTGCCGAATACATTTTGATCAATAGCTTTTGGCGTAGCAGAAAGGTTATTTTGGCGGTGAATCTGACCTCCGGGAAAGTTCAAAATCTAACTTTAACCGGAAGCTGGACTCTATTCACGGTTTGGGACAAGTATGTGGTGGCATCACAAGGATTTCCAAACAAAGTCTACCAATTGGTATAAAAGAATTCATTCATTACATTGGATCTGAAAAAAAAAAAGAGACATCAGAATCTTGCTGATTCGCCTTGCAAAAAATAGAACGTTGGAATCCTAAGTGCCAACATAGAGAACAACTTGGAAATTAGTTGGGTGATCATTGATCAACCGCATCTTGAAGAAGGAGGTCAGATCTGATCTTATTGTGTTGATACACATGAATTTGACCTTCATTTATTAAAGAGGTTTACTCGTTTTTTTACTTAGTTGCAAAAACTCTTTCCAAGTCCACGTGGTCCCTGTTGCAGCCTTTTCCGGACAAACCCAACTTGGAGGTCATCTTTCATCAGCCAAGCGAGACTTCTTCGGACAAGAAGCCACCTCTTATTGTTTTTCCGCATGGTGGTCCTCATGGCACTTCTATCATAGAAATCAGCACCTACGTGCAGACACTGGTTTCTTTGGGATATGCCATTATAGAAGGTAAGCAGATCATTCATCGCACGGCTAATGTTAACTGTGATTGATGCGTCCACCTTATAATATTATGTTGGCCAGTCAACTATTCCGGAAGCACTGGGTTTGGGCAAGATTATGTGGATTCATTGATTGGAAAGATTGGTGATTTAGACATAGAGGAAGTTCAGGTGATCTAGATTTCGATTTCAGTTTAAATTCGGAAAAGATCGTGCGGATTAAATTAACACGTCCTTTGTTTCCTCTCAATTCATACAGTCGTCGGCACAGTATTTCATTGACAACAATTATGTTGATTGTAATTCAGTAGCAGTGATAGGTGGCAGTCACGGTGGATTCATTTCCGGGCATCTGATTGGGAAATATCCCGTATGCGGAATCCATCCATCCATTCTTGATTTGGGGCAAATTATTTCAGTATCAATTCATTGACGTTTTTCTACGTAGGATTTCTACAAAGCCTGTGTCATGAGGAATCCGGTGCTTAATATTGGGGGTAAGTCATAATCGGAAGACTTTTCATGAATGGCGTCAATATTCACTTTTTCATTGTACAGGAATGTCCTTTGTCACGGATATTCCGGACTGGTATGTAATAAAAAGGAATATTTCCAAGGGTTAAAATCACGGTGAACTTTACACCACATATTTGTAGGTGCTTTGCGGAATTGGGTTTGTCTTATGACCTGAAGAAACCGTGCATAGCTACGCCATCCATTTACGCCAAGATGTATCAAAATTCACCGACTGCCAACATTGATAAGATAAAGACACCAATTCTATTGATGCTTGGGCGAAATGACAAAAGGGTGCCGAACGTCGACGGGTTGCAGTGGTGGCACTACCTCAAGGGTCAAGGTAAGGTAGACATTCGTTGCAAGATGTATTACGAGACAGGTCATTCGTTGGACACCGTTGAGGCCGAAATCTCGGGCATCGATGCTATCAGCAAGTTTCTAAAAGAAAAGGTTGGCGTTTAACACTGCGCATGTAGTTCAGAAGAAAATCGAAGAGCAGATGAGATTTCTAGAATATCACCTTTTATGCAATAAAATAAATTAAGTCTGTTTAACGATCACACATCATAATCAAGATATACTGTATAAGTTCATTTAATAAAGAGATTAAAAATAACAAACAATTGTCCTTGATACGATGAAAGACGATTGATCTCATTCCGCTATGGTAAAATGTTTTGTACGTAATGATTACATAATGATGCATCAATACAGGTCTATCTTAATGACAAAGTTGTTATAAAAAATATGGATTTGTTTGTTCAAGCAATCACATTAGGTAAGCATGCATGGCGTTTTTTGTGGAGGAGGAGGCACGGACAAACGACCCCACTGTTCAAAAAGAAAATTCGATTCACCCACGATATTAATCCGCTATTAAAAGACTAAAAAGAAACGCTACGCCACCCTTGATGATCACGTATAAGGTTAGAAGTAACTGATCATATGGTCACCAATCGATCAACATTGCATTTCGCGCCTCGATCCTGATAACCACGACGCGAAATCAATCCAATCAATCACCTTACAAGAGCACCATTTCAAGTAATTCCATGAAAGGGACGAAGAGAATTCCTAAAGTTGAATGCGTAATCGGATTTTGCTGTCCTGTTATTCTCATTCTTTTTTAAGCTTCATGAATACTTTGTGATTGAACTCATGGCAATTGCGACATGCAACATTTTTAACATATGGGTCCTTTCAATATGATCTATTGTTTGACATTTTACATTTTACATTTTACCAAGACAAAATTTCCTCACATCAAATAAATTTGATAAATTCATACTGTTTCATCAACTATAAATACATGCACTGACCAGACGTTTTTTCCCTCGCCAACACGCCCAGGCTTTTTTTTACTCATGGGAGAAGAAAAATTCAAAAGAATCAGAATTAAATTCTTGAACATGGAAAGAGATTTCCGGTTCGTAGAAGGGAACACCTCCGAATGTATTGAAAGGGCAATTATTGTGTCCTTTGGTTTCTCCAAATTCGTTTTATTAGATGATGGTTTTATAATTTCCATTGAGTATTGTTCCTTCGAAGATGGAAAGGTATATCTAATCAAAGTATGTATTTATTTGCGTTTCCCTCGCGTCGAAAGATCTTTTGAACATAGGAGTTGATTCTTATTGACCATTTCACTAACTGATCTAAAACGCTTTTCTTACAAAAGCCAATGGGAGCTCCAAGGGAAACTCAGTTGGCCCCAGCTTCTTTATCCGCGGGCGGAAGGCGTAACAGAAGAAGCCGGAGAAGGGCATGTCAAAACTGCGTTTCATCGAAGAAACGCTGTACCATGGGTCCTGGCGGTGTTCGGTGTAATAGGTGCGAGGGGAAAAATTATGAGTGCCTCCTACCATGATTACTCTCGGTATTCATATCCCGAATGAGTTGCGACTCGTTCGTTACAAATAAGAAAAACATGTAATATGTACGAATGCATTCACTATGCCAAATAAAATATGTAATTATGCAAAAAATTTTTAATTTCTCTTGATCCATAAATGCACTCCGAGTTATACAGTGGAAACGATGATACACCCAGTTTTTACTAATTAATCGGCCCTCAAGTTTTTTTTTTTTGTTGTTTTGCTTTTTTCAAGAGTTAAACAAAGTTTGGTGCTCTTATCATGCATTCTCGTGAAGATTTTCTCGAACAAGTCATTTCACGTGGAGGTTATGTGTGTATGCGCTATTTCGGAACAAGCGAAATATTAACTTGCGGGATGAATTGAAAAAAGTCCCATTGTCCGAAAGTATTTATTCCAGAAGGCTTACGTATATTACATCAGACGTCCATAAAAAGAATAACATTGTTTTTATCGAATCACATGAACATAAAACCAATTCCGATATGAGATCTGCTATGCAAGAGTCAGCTCAGAAAATATATTTTTTGAAAATTAGAAGTGCTTCTCCTAAATTGAGACATGTAATATCTGTCTTGGCCAAATGTCGCATAAATATATAGCATTGGAAAATTGTATGATCACTTGATTTTAAATCTATAATTGAAGAAATACATAATGTCTTTGGCTTCTCTTTGAATTTTGAAAAATCAATTTTAATTGTATATTAAAAACTTTTTTATATTGCAAGTTCTTTGTCGTCAAATATGTTTTTTAAAAATCTATTTATAATGTTTTTATGTTTTTTTAAAAAAATATCTTTATATATTTTACAAACGAATTTCTTCTTTAAATATAAATTCAATAACTTTTTATTTCAATCACTTATGATAATTATAACAGATAATATTAAATTAAAAAAATAATATAATGGTATATCATATTATAGATTTAAATTCTTAAATAATGTTGGTCAAATAAAATAATTCTAGTGTTAGTTTGAAAAGCTTATAATTCATAATATAATTATATAATTAAAAAAATATATACGTAATTTATGAATATGTACTGTATTCTGATTTTATTATTAAATAGAATTCAAAAAATATAAGAAAAATAATTTAATTAATTTGAAATTAAAAAAATATTATTTTTCAAAGTACTGTATATTAAAAAACTTTTATAATATATTTTTATGAAAATTAAATTATCTTAAGATTGATATGTTTTTTTGTTGTTATATGATTTTTTTTTTTGAAGGTTGAATTTTTTAGAATTAATGTAACTATTATTTCTATTATATATATATATATATTTATTTATTTATTTATTTATAAATCAATATTGATTAAAAAAATTATTAATATTAATTCTTTTTATAAGAACAACTAAAATTCTTTATTAATATATATTATTTGATTATCACATTTTTATTAATATAATATTTCATATTGATATTAATATAATTTGTTACTTTACAAAATATAATAGAGTATAAATCGTCATTGGCCATCCAGCTCAAATTATACAAGTTTCCCACTGGTTAATGCTATGATGACTTGACGCTTGTTGACGGCAGCTTTGACTATTACTTTATTTCCATGGCTTTCCATTCATTGACGCGACGGTTCGAGCGTATATTACTTATACCTTGGTATATCTATTATACAGTATATAGAAGATTATTGTTATCTCGAAAATTTATTGCTAATTCTGAGTGCAACGTATCCTAATGCATCTTCAAGTTGACGGACTCCAAAGTTGGTGCTGTGGAGAGGAAGCAAGTATCATTTATTTCTACTGTTTCGTGTTCACAAATGACACAATTACTGTATGTACGCATCAAATTCATCAAAGTTAAATAAGGTCAGAGAAAACACGAAAATGTAGTTGACATAAAGCTCTTGTAAGCATCAGTTCCAATTTCGTTGTTCACGTGGCGTCAGGATTACCCCCTGGGCTACACAAGCATTCAATTGTGGCGTATCATCCGTAAGATTCGTAACTTGCCCATTGTACCGGGGTACAAAGAGATACAGTATATTACACTCGATTTTTCTTATTAAACCAACTCTTTTAATTCTCTCTTTATTTGCTTTGCTCAATAGCTGGTCACATGTTTTTAATTAAATCGCGATATACAAAATTAATAATATAAACTACATAAAATAAACAAGCGATATAATCTAAATAAACTATAGAATCTGAATCTATCTATGCTAATTGCCAAAATTCTCGGTAGGATCGTCGTGTCGCGTTTTTTCTATTACCGTACACATTCATTTAATTCATCATTTAATAAGCAGTCGTAATTCATGATAGCGCGCTTCAATATCAAATAATTGTTTCATTCTTGCCTAATATTCTGACGTACGGGAAAGGTGAGCAAAGTATGGGCTAGACTGACTATATTGGAGCAACAATTATATAATGCGTAAGGTCATCGTACCTCCTTTTTATTATTATTCGCTATTAAAATGCCTTTACCAAAGGTCCTCCACAAATTAAAATGCGGATGATAAAAAATGTAATCATTGATGTTCAGGGACCAGTATATGATAGGTAAGGGATATGACGCGGCGCGTTACATAATTGTTGCGCCAATGGAAAACAGGTGTAAATATGATGTATGGAAAAATAATGCGAGTATGACGTATGGAAAACACGTAAATATAACGTATGGGAACGCGCACGATGAAAAAGTAATTATTATGACGTATGAAAATATAATGTGCATAAAATACCCGAGTAAATAAATAGGAATCAAAAACGGTGCAATAATTTTACAAAAAAACATGAATTTATAAAGGAAAAACCTACACAAAAAACACGAATCTTAACTCATATAAAGCATCAACACTTTATCTTTAAAAAGTTAACTTATAATTTATTTAATTTATAAATCATTAAACCAATTTATAAACCTTAAATATTTGCCTTAAAAATTTTTAATCTTTAATTTATAAACAATCCTTTATATTTTTTATATTTTTTGAAATATTGTAATATTTATCAGCCATAATATATACATATATGAAATAGATAATGTTCTTAATAAAAAGATGTCAATATCTTTGATGCGAAGGAAACAAGGCAGGCATTGTCTATTGACATTTTGAAGAATTTAATTAAAATCATTACGTTATGTCAAATTTTTAAAAATTCAAATAAAAACTTTTTTTAAATTTTATTATAAAAAAAAGGAATTCTTTTATTAAGTACATGTATAAAGATGATTTAGAAAATCTTTATTCTATTTCGAATAGTTATTATTATAAATATTTGATTTCAGTATAATACTATAATTATCTTGAAATTCAAAATTTTATAATTATTATTGAGTATTTAAAAATATAAAGCTAATTAAAAAATATAAATGGATTATAAAAAAATTGTTATATTACGGATTATGAAAAATCAATCCTTTATTGATAATTAATAATAAATGATTTTATAAGTAAATTAAAACATATAATTATTCAATAGAAATTTGAAAATACTAATATATACATATATCTAATCATTATCTATATCCTTTTTTTTAAACTATGAATTATAAACTGTTATATATATTGTATATATATTAATACATATTTGGTTAATAAATGC